TGACGATTGGTGTCACTCGGTCCAGTGGACGTCTACGGTTCGTACTACTCGTTCGAGCGCGAGCACCAGCACGAGTAATGATTGTGCCGACAACTGTTGTTGCACCGTATTCTATTGTACCGGCCGATACGGTACGAGGACGTACTGGTGAAGCATCGTACGGTATGATAAAATTTCAATTTTTGTGGAATCATGAAAAGATTTTCGGTACGAACTCAAAGAAAGCCTKGAGATGACGATAGGTACCATATTAGAGTRACGATATCCAGTGACGGAGGTGCTCGTGYGGCATGCCTTCGATGTTACTATCCCACGTATTCAAAACATGGGAAGAGCAAACTCATACGTCCACGTTGAGCTTTCGAGAATCCGTTTGTTACTCGCTTCATCATCGAAGAGCAACCAGACAACGGTAGAATAAACTCTGAAGGATGATTTTGTCTCCAAATCGCCCGAGTTCACACCTACGGTGGGTTACGGAAGTAAGGGGTGAGATCACATGATGGGAAAGGATTGGAGGAAGAGCTGTCCCATCCCATTTCCATGTCAAGAGCACAATGTACACTAGTCCTTTACGTCTATACGGMGAAAACATACCCTGTCGACAAGGGTTTACCGAGGTAGTTGTGRTTTCTGAAGTGGTGGGATGCTGTCCAAACTCGTACTTGATATTTGCCTTCAAAAAAGGTGCAATTATTTGACGCTAATTAGACTAGAAAATGCGCACCATGGACACTTGTTTTAATAGTCAACATAGAATTTCTATTATTTCGTATCAATTGAGGCAAACCAGACACAGCGAGCGGAGATGATCGGTCCACATCCTAAGTGCACTCAAGCAACAAACGTTACGAGGCAGAAGTGGCGCTATCCACAGGAGCTTGGTACTGACAAATCCAACAACTTAAAGAGGAAGGATGGAGTCAAGGTTTCCGAGCTGTTCGTGGACCATAAGACCAAGAATTCCCAACATGGCAGCACGTCCGTTGTTGAGCTCGATGGCACGCTTCTGCATCTTTGTTTCCTCATCGAAGTCATCCCATCCGTAGTCGATGGTTCCAGAGCGGAAGTCACCGAYGAATTCACCCTCGCCGGAGTTATCACGCATGATGAATTCCAAGACGAAGATAAAGGCGAAAAGCTGAACTTGTCCTCCCTTAGGGATGGCGGACAAAGCGGCAGCTCCGGCAGGGATGTCAGCGAATGTATCTCCAGAGAAGTCAATGTTTCCAGGAAGACGGACTCCGGCGTATTCGATGAGGAATCCAACAACGGCAAGCATGGAAAYACGTCCGTGCTTCAACTCGGTGTATCGGAGCTGATCGAAACGTTCCTGGGAAGCRTTGTTGAGCATACCAAGGGGATCGAAGAAACCAAGAGGAGGCTGTGGATCATTGAAGGACAGTGTGCAGGAAGTCAACGCGCGATGGATTGATGAGTGGAACAGACTAAAGGCAGTGAAACTGRATGATCAAGACCACGTATAAGCATTGAAGGAATTACTGCATGATCACGAAACGCATCATAGATACACACCTGGACACCGAGCTCGTCTTCGAAGGCCTTGACGGCAGTCGAGGAGGCCTTTTGCTGGGCAGGAGCGAAGGCGGCGGCAGAGGCGATGAGGGCGGAAAGAATGGCAAGCTTCATATTGGAATTTTTAGATTATAATTTATGTCAAATTAATTTTGTGAACAAAAAGAGACGAACGAAGAGGCGAGATTCCGWTGGGGCAGTTTCTATCGAAGGCGAAAAAAGGTCAACTTTCGGCTGGAAGGATGCTAGAATTGGAAATCGGCAAGGAAATTAGATCCAATCGAAGGAAAACTTCAAAGACGTAAGAAATTGAACTTCAAAGACTGGTTGCGTACGATACCTAGTTCCCGTTGCTCCTTGCCCCGCGTACGAATCATGCGTGCCAATCAACAAAATCCGTGGATTGAACGTTTGGAACATATCCTGATCTTACTTACGTACCGTACCGTACCGTTCGGCAAAAAGGGAGAAGATCCAATTTCAACAAAGATCAACCAGTTCGCCAGTGCAAGAACTATTTGGTCGCGGAAAAGGCACAA